CGTTAAGCTCGAAAATGAGGATAATCTACTTATATGTGAACCTAGTATAAAATTCAATACAAAAACTTGAATTATTTTAACCATAACCGAACACTTGTTTGAGTATATATTCATTTGTCGGTGCTGTCAATTAAAATTTCCTCACTTAATTAGGAAACAAAACAAACAAAGTTGATCACAAATTGATCCAGATTTCTATCAGCATCACATCGATGCATGAACGAAAGACACAAGATCACGTAAGAACAAGAGAGGGAAAAAAGTCGATTTTTTAGCGGGTTCTACGCCATCTTGTTTCACTGGAAAACGAGCGGAAAGTAAACAAAGCAAAGAAAGCAACGGAAACCAAAATTAGCCAAAATTATTGTCAGCCACTTTAAACGCACAATTTAGGTAAAATGATGCAACAAAATGCTTTAAAATGTGTTGTCATGTTGAATTAACTCTTCTTTACTTGAATAAAAGTGTAAAATAGTGGTGCTTGTGATGTAAACAAACGCTCAGCTGACGAACCCGCTTTCGCAAACTTTTTTCTCAAAACCAGTTACAAATACAACGTCGCGTTCTTACGTGATCTTGTATTTTTGGTTCATGACATCGATGTTGAATTTGCTTAACTTTTCTTTATCCAAATAACATAAAATAATAAATGAAATCTCGATCGGCGATCACTGAAACGCAGCTAGCCACTGTATACTCGAAAAAGCAATGCTGTAAATTTCTCATTAAACCATGTTCGAATCGTGGAAATTTTGGAAGATCACAGGGTTGCTTTTAGCATTTAGATTCTTAATGCAAAAATGGAGTTGGATTTAGTTGCATTTAGGTGACAAATTTTGTATGGATAAATGTACATTTAGGGCCGTTTGCACCATGTCTAGTTAATTCTAACTCCCAGTTAAACATCTTTATCGACGTTATCGACACCCATCATATAACATGTGATCGATAAAGCAGTTAACGTGCTTAACTGAGGGATGTACCTCCAGTTAGCGTTAACTAGACATGGTGCAAACGGCCCTTAGAGTAGCATTTAGAACTAAATGCGCTAAATGTGCTTTTACGCGTAACCGGCCGTCTTCACGTGCTGCAAATCTCGCTTGCGTGACGACGCATGCGAGAAACCGCACGTGTAGACCGCAAAAAGTACGAAGCATGCTCTTTCTCGCATACCGAGCGGTATGCGAGCTCTCGCTTGCTTTCAACTGTCATTTTTGTTGTTTGACAGCTATGTTCTCATTTCGCAGAATTCTTCAGAGTAGCAACATCGTTTATTTTGGAGGCAAATACAAATTTCTTTCGTTTCTTGCGTCTTTTTCTCTCTTTATGCAGATTTTCTAATTTTCTCAATCTTTTAAGAGCCTGCAAGGCTTGAACTTTCTTGTTTGGCGACATTTTACAAATGAAAAAGTATGCTGTCAAATGCCCAGTTAACAAAACTCTATCTCGCTTGCGAGAGAAAAAAGCAGAACGCAAGCGAGATTTTCAAGCATGTGAAGACGGCCAGTAAACCTAGTATAAGGGCCGGTTGTTCAATGTCTGATTAGCACTAATCGGAGGTAGAAGCTCTGGTTAAATACAACGACTGCTTTATCGATCACATGTTATATGCATGATGTCGAAAACGTCGATAATGATGTTTAACCGGCAAGTAGTGATAACCAGACATTGAACAACCGGCCCTAAGTCAGCGAAAATCTTAATACTTGTTAAAAGACTAAAAACGTACCTCATTTTCATATAAGAGCGTGTCAGACGTGGCAATATTTCTATCTTTTCCATGTGTGAATCAGTTTCAGAAATTAAAGTTGCAAGATGTGACTGCAATTGAGAGATATATATATTTCTACTTGCTCGAGCAGCACTAGCAATCTCCAATTCGCTTTTCGCAAATAAAAAACGTCTTTCGAAAAAACACTTTACATGCAAGCTGTGATTGCTCATGCAACTGCTTCCTGAAATTACTCAATTTGACAGCCTTTTCGAAATATATTGCATTGCCACGTCTGACAGGATTTCTGTGGACAAAAATCGGGACATTTCTAAAGCATCGAATCAAAACATACAACTTTGTTTTTAGAATAAAAAGACATATACCGACACATAAAACGCCTTGATCCAGTTCGCTGTGATTCAAAACGGAAGCATAAACCAAATATTAATACGACCAGAAATTCAAAAGTGTGTTTTATTTCTCACATAGTATAGAAAACAGGTATAAACCATCGTACAGCTTCAAAATGCCTACAGCTGAGATCACCTGTTTTTTGGCGTGTGCTCTTATTTTACAATTTCTTTTCTTTATATTACAATTTCATTCATTTCTATTACAATCTATTCAAACTACACTGACACACTGAACCAAAAACACCAATACACTAACCGAAAACACACCTACAGCCTGCCAAACACACACCTACAGCCTGCCAGAAAAAACGGTAAGAACAAATCATTCATTTGACGCGAAGTGAAAAAGGCTGTTTTTTTATACAGCCCGTTTTAAATTTGAATTATTATTATAATAAATTTGAATTATTGTTCGCTTCCATTTCGGTCAATCGCGCAAACTAATTAAATACTAAAGAAATATCGAAAAAAAAAAAATTTGTTTACTTTTGAATACGTTTTCAACGAGGGCGCTATAAAGACAGTGGTATAAACTTTTGAAAGAAATATGTGTTGAGTCAAATCGGTTTATTGTAAATGCGGTTCTTACATTGGTATAAACACGGTAATAGTATCATTAATACATTTTAAAACAAAACCAAGAGAAAAGAACTTGAACAAGTAATTTTTAAGAAAAAAATAAGACCGACTTCAATTCACATATAGAAATTTAAGATTATCGTTTATTTCTTCATGATCCAATGATAAGTATGGAACCACATCCTTTAAAAATATAATTATAGAATTCGGTTGACGAAGTCCAAAGTTATATGCATAAAAAAATATTCCTCCTGTTTTTCAAGTCGATTAAAAATTATGGCAAAACTTTATACATACAATATATCGTTACCTTAAATCCGTTGGTTTTCGTACTAAAGGCTGATTCACATACAACTTTCTTCGCTTTGCTTGATAGTTCTTTGCTTTGACATATTAGTTCGATGTATGCAGATGATGTAAAACTTTATAAATCGTACGTTTCAATTAAAGAAAGGTCTTTGCTACAATCAGACTTAAACAGCATGGCTTACTGGTGTAAAGCAAATCTTATGCCTCTAAATCTTAAGAAATGTAAAGTAATGTGCTTCTCGCGAAGAGCTGTTCTGCCAGTTTCTTATATAATAGGTAACCATAACGTGGAACAGGTATACAATTTTGTGGACCTTGGTATCACAATGGATCCTAAGCTTAATTTTAATCTTCACATTAATAGGTTTGTTCCACACGAGCCCGCGGGTACCCACGGGTGCCCAAAGCAGCCCAGAAAGCGTTCCTCACGCTAGAAAAATGGGTAATAGAGAGCGAATACGTTCCACTTTTGGATCGTAAATATCTTCTTCTTTGTGCACGAAACAGCCCGGACTTTTTTTCCGGGCACAAATGTGCAAAAGGGCAATTTGAAATAACTGCTGTTGTTGTTTAAATCCGAAAGCAAATTTTATAAAAACAAAAGTGGAAAATATCACAGAATTTTCAGAAAATGTCATTATTTGGTAATTTTATTAGCCATATAAGATAAATACACGTAAATCATTGTTTAGAGCTGATATGTTGATTCCGGGCACGAAATGTGGTTTTTTGCGTTCCTCACGCTCTGGGCACTTTTGGCACGTGTTGGCACATTTTTGACACTTGTGAGAGAGTAACTTATTTTTACTCTCTAATTACCGGAGCAGCCCGGAAAGCGTGGGGAATACGGCTCGGTGGTTTGGAATCCAAGGTATCAAATTTACTCAGACAAGATAGAATCAATTCAAAAACAATTCTTACTTTTTGCTTTAAGAAATTTCCGATGGGATTCTCAATATAGTCTTCCACCTTATACGAGTCGCTTAAAACTTATTAACCTTCCTACACTTGCCAGTGGCAGGGAAATGCTTGGTATAATTTTCATGGTTAAATTACTGACAGGCTCAATTTCAAGTCCGTCTCTTCTGGCTGATGTAAGCTTTAATGTTCCCTCACGCGTATCAAGACACTTTTGTCCCATATTTCTGAAAGCTTGTAAAACCAATTTTGAATTGCACGACCCACTCCGTTGCTTATGCCAGGATTTTAACTCTCATTCCAGCACGTTTGATATATCAGATCCGCTTTTCAGCATTAAGAAAGCGATACTCTCCTCTCTCAATAAGTGAATTATTGACATAAATACATAAAATCAGCTGATGAATTTAGTTCTGTAGCTGAACAGTTTTAGATCTCGACACTTAACAAACTCCTGCCTATCGTGACTCGGCACAAAAATTTAAAATATTGGTTCCGTACGTCATGCGGACTGCGCCCCTCGTGCGGATGGGCGGGAATGGAGGGTAAAAACCGTTGGGATATTATTATATGCATGAGTATGCTCACATAAAAAAATTTGGCTTTGGCAATCAGCTGTCTACAGGTATCTTTTCTCATGCGCTTGCATTTGCATTTAATGACAAAAATAGGGTAAATAGGAATTTTGATTGCTATTATTAA